AGAAAAAAAGTAGAATGGGCCATCCATTGGGTGGTCTGGTACTGATAATCAAGAGAAACGTTGGAAAACTTTTTAATTATTATATAACAGACAATTTTATTTTTGTGGTGATAGAAATGGATCAAAGAACTAAAATGTGTTGGGGAGAATTATATTTGGGAATTATATTAATCTATTTGGCCCCTTCTTCAGATAAAAAGTTGATATTAAAAGAAGTTAAAAGAAACATCGATCAGTGGTCAAGTGTTGTAAATCTATGGATAATGGGAGGGGACTTTAATGCACGGATTGGAGAGATAATGGACACAAAATGCAAACAAAAAAATACAAACATTATTAATAGCAGAGCATCCAAAGACAAAACAGTAAATGTGGAAGGTAGAATTCTTTTAGATTTTGTGCAGGAAAGTGAGTTTTTTATATTAAATGGTAGCACCATGGGTGATATCCCCGCTGAGTTTTCTTTTGTATCTCCATTGGGAAAGTCAATTATTGACTATATGTTCCGAATTCATTCTAGATCAGTGTCAGATGATGTCTGTATTAGACATAGATCCGTCTAGAACTGAGAGGAAACGTAGAAGATCGAAATAGAAGGTATAGTTTAAATCAAGAATGTAAAATTAACAAAGGAAAAAAACAAACTTATAATAAATTTAAATTTATTAATGAAATATCTAATAATATTGATGATTTATTGATTCATGAAAGAGAGAATAATCCAATCGATAATTATAACCATTTAATAACAATTTTAGACAGTTACTGTTTTAAGAGAAGTACAGGAATAAATCTGGCCAAATACAAACATAAATGTTTTGATAATACCGTGTTTCCCCGAAAATAAGACATCCGCAGAAAATAAGACCTAGCACAGATTTTGCTGAATTGCGAAATATAAGACCTCACCCCGAAAGTAAGACCTAGCGAAGTTTTTTTTAATCGTAACGGTCATCGACAGATAGTTGAAAGTGGCCGTTGGGTTTTTGAAAGTACAGCCACTGATTGGTCAACAGACAATTACGCCACACGGCATGATTTGCATAAGACTATGGCTTGGGAATCACAGATTTGCATAACGTTACGGCTGGTGATGGCTAATTGGTCGGCCGGGAATCACGCCACATGACATTTGCATAGTGTTACGGTTCAGTAAGCACTAATTGGTCATCAAGTCTGATGTTGACGCTATAAAAAGGCGACAGTTCGACACACCGGATATACGTCACTCTCGTCTAAGTTCGACTTCGGAATTTTTTTGTTCAATAATAAATGTGAAGTTTTCTTCTTCGAAAAAATAAGACATTCCCTGAAAATAAGACCTAGCGCATTTTTCAGAGCAAAAGTTAATATAAGACACTGTCTTATTTTCGGAAAAACACGGTAAGTGTTATTTTTATAAACTAAAAAAGCAAAAAAAAACCTACAAAGATTCAGAAAAGTAAATACTGAGGAATCACTGAAGAAGTATTTAAATAGTAAGAGAGTATATAACAACCTAGTGAAGGCGAAGAAGAAAAAATATTTTCTAGAGATCAGGGACAAATTAACTAAGGCTAAAGACACAAAAGTTTTTTGGACTATAGTCAATGATTTTCAAGTTACTAAGTCAGTATACAGAGAAACAATTCAAGTGCCCTATAGTGACTGGCTTCATTATTTTAGAATCTTCTCAGAAGATTACAAGAGTAAAGGTTGCTTATGGATTAAAGACATAAATGCACCACAAGGTAACTCCTTAGAGGAGGAAATTAAAACTGAAGAAGTGCAGTATTGTATAAAGAAGCTAAAGGAGAACTCTGCACCAGAGTCTGACTCAATTCCCAATTTTATAATTAAGAACTTTCCAATAGAAATGGTTAATTTTTTGTCTAGACAGTTTTGTAGGTTTTATAAGCAAGGAGTTGTACCATATAATTGGAACGAGGTAATATTTGCCATGTTATATAAACACGGTGAAAGGTCAATACCAACTAATTATCATTCGATCACACTGTTATCTGGATTACATAAAGTGTTTACAGCAGTTTTGTCATTAAAGTTTAACAATTGGTTAGAAAAAAATAATTACAAGAATGAAACCCAATATGCTTTCACTAAAAACGATGGCATCCAATTGGATCTCTTTATATTAATAGCAATTGTTCAGTTACAGCTAATCAAAAAAAGACAGAAGGTTTTTGCATTGTTTTTAGACCTAGAAAAGCATACGATTCTGTAAGTATTGCAGACTTACAAATAAAATTGAGATACTATCAAGCAGATGAATGTTTAACGAATATTATAGGAGTGCTATTTGGTCAATATAAAATTACAATTAAACAAGATCATACTCAGTGGCGGCCATTTGTTTCAAGCAGAGGTTTATTGCAAGGAGACCCTTGGTCTCCCCACCTATTTAACTTTTACACATTTGATGTAAATAGTTGCTTTGCGAATGAAGATGACAGGTTCTTAATAGATAACCAATTGGTTCATTTGATATCTTACATGGATGATATAGTAATTATTGCTCCAACAGCTGCGGCTTTACGAAGGAAGATCCAGTTGGTGAAGAATTATTTTGGTGAGCTGAAATTGAAAATAAATCCAAAGAAATCTGAAGTTATGATATTTAGGAATGGAGCTAACTTACCGAAGAAACACATGCGTTTTTTTCATTGATAAAGAATTGAGAGTAGTTCAAGAAACAAAATACTTGGGTATTACCTTAACACCAAATTTATCTTTTGATAAACAGTATAAAAAGACTGCCAATGGAGCAAATAGGTTATTAAATAATTTGGTAAGGCTATTTTCTAAGGCTAAAATAAAGAATATTCAAGTGCACTTCCATTTGTTTAACTCCATTATCATGAACTCAATTGGTTATGCAGTCCCAATTTGGAGTCTTAGTCACTGGCAAAAATTGGAAATAATTCAGAACAAGTTTATATGCAGAATTTTCTTTTTGGAATATAATATACCAGGCAGTGCAATCAGATTAGAGCTGGGCAGATACAAATTAAGTGCAACCTTAATAAAGAGATATATGAAATTTTTATTTAAATTAAGAGATGCAGGTAATTTATCAACGATATTGTTATATCAATTATACCAGAAATCATTGGTGAAAGAGCATGATAGGAATTGAGTGACACAATTATCAAAAATATTGATCTATTTCGGTTATTCTATAAAATTATTCCTGGATTTACTTGAGATAAGTGATCAACATTGTAAACAATTAATACAAAATGTTTTAGAAATTTCACTATCACAGGACATTGAAGATTTACATCAGGGGTGTCCAATCTGTGGCCCGTGGGCTGCATGTGGCCCAAGGCAAGTTCCAATGTGGCCCAATAAATGTGTAAACAAAACCGACAAATGTTTTAATTTTTTTATTATTTATTTATTTCAACAGCATAAACTCAAAAAAAGTTTCACAATGCTGTAAACCTTTATTCATATTTTATTTTTGAGTGGAAAGAAAATATTTTCAAATACTTGGAGATGTGTGAATGCGGAAGGATTACTAAATAAAGCTGGAGTTGTGACTCAAAGGATTATAGACCCAAATTTGAGAAAAGGAGGGAAAGATGAAAAAGGACAAAAGATGTAGTAGTGAGAAACGTTAAATAGATCTTCTGTTAAGCAAATATGGACCTGTAATTTTTCAACCTTTTTCACTTCTTTATCTTTTGTCCTTTGCCTCTTTTTCCCCGCACTTGGGTCTATAATCCTTTGATTCACAACTCCAGCTTTATTTAGTATTTCTTCCAATGTTGCAAGATTTGGCTACATTGCGCCAAATGTGGCTACTTTTTTTTGCTTGACATAAAAAATATCATTTGGCACTTTGGCTACTTTTTCGGCTACATATTATCTATAATTATATTAATTGAATAAAAATGTACTTTAAAATGATGTTTTATCACTTTTTATTAATTAGAGACCCAAATAAAATAAATATTTGTGTTTTTCAAATAAATTTTCTTTAGTCTCTTTTATAATAAATGAATTTATCTATTTCTAAGTAAAAATTGAAAGTGTCTGTAGAAGTAATTTTTTAAAATATCCTTTTTTCTTGATAAAGTTTTAATACCTTTTATTATAATATTGACATGTTTATTTTTAAACATACTTGTATATTGGGCCACAAGTATATATTATATATACTTGTGGCCCAAACTCCTTGACTTTTTCAAATGCAGCCCAGAGAAACAAAAAGGTTGGACACCCCTGATTTACATAATAGAGAGAAACCTGATTGGTTTAATATAATTCTGGAGTATCCATTTAATAACAATTATATGTTAACAAATCTGGCTTTTAATGTAAAAAGATTTTTTGTGCAACTCAGACTAAATAAAGAATTGATACTAATTAATAACAAAATTATCGAATTTTCTAAGAGTATGTGTCCAAGATGTCAAAAAATAATTTCAAAATTTCATATGTTTTGTGACTGTAAAGATGCAAAAGAGTTAGCATAGAGTCTTGATCTACAATTTTTACTAAAATGTACTAATGAAAAGGCAATGTATGTAATATTTAACAGAGCCACAATAGATATAATTTATAGACTTTACAAATATGCCCAGAAATTCACGTTGATGTAATAATTGTAATAACCAAATAATAATAGAAAACTAAAATATATGTACACGTGTAAAGTGTTATATATAAATGTATTCATTTTGGTACAAATTGTCTTATTTCGAGTATATGTACCTAGTTATAATATAGTTTAATTAGATTATGTGATAGAGAATAAGGTTAAATTGGGTTGATGATGTATAAAATAATGATAGAAAAATTGATTGATATTAAAATACATCCCTTGTAACTGGCTAATGGCCTTAATACAAATAAACTGATTGATTGATTGATAATTAGTCATCAAGTTTAATTTTAATTAATAATTATTGTTTTAAAGAGTAATAAAATTAATATTTATATAAAATTAATTTTAATAAAAAAAGCAATGTAAAATAAATTTAAATTTTTTGTTTAAGGTTATACATTTAAAAAGCAAACACAATGAAATAGAACAGACATATTATTTAATGACCGTCCAACCTCAACCATTAGAAGATGAAGCAATTGATCATAAAGATGATACAGCATTAGAAACAGAGTTGCCTAAATCATATCTCAAAGTTGTTAATTTTTTACAGCTTGATACATTTGCTATTACACATGGACCATGTACAAAAATTGATGGTAAATTACTTTATAATAATTTCCATTTTTTGTAAGAATATATTGATTAAATATTGTTCATTATGATTAATTTGATTAAATAAAGTTTAGAAATTTATAGCAAAAACTCAATGATCATACAATATAAGAAAATATTTCTTAAATCATTTCTTAAAGTTTGATTATTTAATTTCTTTGTGTGTTGATAGATTTAATATTATGTGTAAAAAATCTCATATAGTAATTTATGTTGTGGAATACTTCTATAACCTGAATTTTGATAATTAGCTTTATGTTTTCATTTATTTGGAAAGTTAGATTATGAATATAAATATTTTTATAGGATAACAAATACCATAAAAAATTGAATTAATGGATTTAATTTGTACAAACTTTTGAATAACTTCACAAAATCATATCTTGAATTAAATTCTAAAAGATGTAGTGTAGTAAAAGGATTATTAAATTATATTCACTTTTTATGTATTTTTTAATAGTGAGCAAAAATTATTTTAAATAAAACATTGATTNTCCTCGTATCGAAAATTGATCGATTGTTATAGGTGACTTTTAAAGAATTTATATATTGTTCTTTTAATAAGGTTTTTTATTTAATATAAAAAAAGATTCGCCAATTATTTAATGTAATTCTTAAACAAAATTATTACATTTAATTACCATCATAAATTTGGGTATTAAATAATAAATAAATATAGCAGATTGTATAATTTATCATCACAGTTTTTAATAAGGTTTTTTATTTCAGTTAATCAAAAGAGGAATCTGTCACCAAGGAATGCAAGTTGAAGCAAATGGAACAAATTTTGTTGTAAAAATTGTACAGTATGTATTATTTTTTTCTTAATGAATATACTAAAAATACTGAATAACATTTAGTAATAAAAAATGCATTCTTTATATAGTAGAAGCTTCATGTTAATGAATCCATTAGCAAGGTCTAACAGTTGACAATATGAATTTCAGGAAAATGCATTTAAGATAAAATCATTAAAAATCATTTTAATTGTCTCTTCATCTGTTATTTTATTATATTTTTGTTAATCCTTCCACAAATAAGTGAATTTTAGTTTTGCTAATATAAAAAGATGGTTGTAAATATTGAACTGTAAATATGCAAAATGCATGAATTTGAAGCTTTACTATAATTCAAATTCTATTTACTTAAGACTTATTGTTTCAAGCAGTTAGAGACAATAGAATTTGGGACCACTCCAGACTAATATATATATACAGTAGATCCCCCTATAAAACTGTTTCCTATAGTTACGATTCCTATAAGACGGCGAAAAAATTGTGGCAGTATCCGTACACAACAGTAAAAAAACTCCTATAATTATGTAAAACGTCGTCGGGCAGCCGAACTACTTTCCCGCCGTCTGTAGCGCCACGCTGCGGACGTTTAGGCGGGTAAATTGAGTTTAGTTTCGTCTGTACATATAATTATATATAAATTAGGTACTATATATATAATTATATATTAACTTAATTTATTGTAACTTTATTATAATTATATATTTTTTTTTCACCGTCTAGTGGCGCTACGGAGAGTTTAGGCTAGCTATCATCTGTACAGTATGTAAATTAGGTACTGTAAGTCTAATATAGCACTATAATTTTATACGTTTCTTGTGAAAGAAACATTTCTTATTCAACGGCCATAAAAATTATTTATATTAATGATGTCTCCATAGGTCAACAAAGTTTTCGCAGAAAAATAATATCAGAAATTGCGGCCGCCGTTTGATGCGCTGTTCCATTCAATAAGTCGGGAAAACAGAACCTGTACTTAAGACCACCCCACTTGAAAATGAATAATAGCACGATTAAGATAGAAAAATCCATGAANCCATAGGTCAACAAAGTTTTCGCAGAAAAATAATATCAGAAATTGCGGCCGCCGTTTGATGCGCTGTTCCATTCAATAAGTCGGGAAAACAGAACCTGTACTTAAGACCACCCCACTTGAAAATGAATAATAGCACGATTAAGATAGAAAAATCCATGAAGTACCTGGGAGTATTTCTTGATTTCAGGTTTTCATGGGACAAACATGTTGAGTATCTGTCCTCACGCACAGGAATGATAATGAACTCCTTCGCTCAGGTTGCGAAAAGAAAATGGGGAATAAACAATGACACTATGTCTATAATATATGACAGCATATTTCTACCGATGGTAACCTGTGGCACCTGGGGGTGGGCAGCTAGAAAGGTTCACACAAAGAGAAAGTTCATCTCATCGCAAAGATGAGCGCTTCTTTTAATGACTAAATATTACCGTATCATGAGTAATTGATGCCTTCAGGTGCTTGCTAGGAAACCTCCCATAGATCTTGAGATTTTTCAGAGGGAAAAGTATCAGCAGATTAAGTGGGGCAGCAATATTACGATTTCGAACAATACCATCCAACAAGAAGACATAGAATGGACAATACCATATAGTGAGACTCTATTTCCTATTGGTCATACTGCCAACATTGAGGAGAATACCAATAACAACTATATAGACATCTACACTGATGGTTCGAAGATAAATAACTCTGTTGGCTGCAGCTTTGTTGTGTATGAAAATTTGCTGGAAACAACACATCAGATTTTCTGCCTTGATGACAGGTGTACAGTTTTCCAGGCAGAGTTGTATGCCATTTGGAAGGCTGTTGAAACCATTGATAAAAGTCACAACAACATTAGTGTTACTATAAACACAGACTCCTTATCTGCATACAAGATTATTAAAAGTACAAAACTGCATCCTCTAGCTGAGAACATAAGAAATCAAATCCGACTGTCAAACTGTAAATTCCAACTAACATGGGTTAAAGCCCATCAAGAGAGTCAGCTCTCTCATTGCAGAGAGCAGTGAGAGAGCTGACTCTCTTGCCAAGTCTGCCACTACTTTGGACAAGAAACATATTGTCTACAAGAAAATTAGTCGATGTTCACTGCGCAGTTTGTTATGGGAGGAAACTATACAACTCTGGCAGACAACTTGGGACCTAGATAAGGATCACATAAGTTATAAATTCATCCCTGATATACAACAGCATCTACGGACTAAATGGTACTCACCTAATTTCTATGCTAATCAAATATTTACCAACCATGGTAAATTCGCTAATTACCTGGCAAGATTCGTAAATTACACATCTGATGCATGCAACGTATGTGATGTTAAGGATGGTCCAGATCATTATCTTTTTAATTGCATCGCTTTTGAAAGGGAAAGATTGAATTTAAGATATTGTTGGAAACCTACAAGATCAGTTGGCCATTCAAGCATCATGACATTTGGTTAAATAAAGAAATTTACCATAATTTTATACAGTTCGCTAAGAGGATTTACACTGTTAATAATTCCAGCTTTCACAGCTAATTGCTTTCATAGGCATCAGTGTTGCCTTCTTTCTGTAGGGACCACTCCATGCGAATTGTTGTGAGTGCGATTTCCCTGCGGCTTGTACATATGTATATATCTCTGTTCTTTGTTCACTCTTTACAATTATCTATTGTAATCCGGTCATATTTATAGTGTAATTGTAATTAATCATACCTGTACTCTAGCCCTGATAATGCTACATGCAGGGTCAGGGCATGTACTTTGTACATAATAAATAAAAATTAAAGTAAAGTAAGTAAAAAGTAAGTGATGCGCTGTTCCGTGACGAAAACAAGCTTTAGCAACGGGTGTAGTCGAATGGTGCACACTCGGTAAGTAATTCTACAATTTTTTGTTTATAACGTAGTTTATACGGATTATTTCCAAAAAAATATACGTATTTTGGAAATGTTGAGTCGAATTAGTCTAGAATTGATTAATTTTATGGAAGAAAACCTTTCAAACAGCCGTAGTCCGTAAACTGTGATTCCTACAAAATTGATTCATAAAGAACGGAACGTATCTACCGTCTTATAGGGGGATCTACTGTATATATATTACTCTGCAGTATGTATATATATATGTATAAAATTAAATTATAAATTTTAAATTGGATTTAAATTTTTATAATCTAGAATTGTTTGTTATTAAACTATTTGATTATTTATGTGGAAGATTTTGTTAATTTAGATTTTAAGTTTAATTATGAGTAAAGCTATATTTTACACTGTGCAATGTAATAAAGTTTTAAATAGACTGGTGTTGAGAGGACACTTAATAAAAGTCAGTATAATTCAAGCACTTTTACTTTTAACAGAAGATTCTATTAAGTAATATTCCAAAACAGAATCCAGATGTTTACAGTATAAAAATATAAATGTATTTGAACAGTTTTGTGGAAAAACAAAAATTAATCAGTGGAAATAATTTAAAAAATGATGTACAAAAAGTGGATCATGATTTATGTAGTTTCAACATGTATAAATATGGACTTATGTAAAAAAATATCTGACATGCATAAACTAGTAATGTAAAGTAATATCAATTGTAGGAAAACACATTAAACTGCATTAAATTAATTCATCTCCTCATTCAATTCACACATTCTAGCACAAGGTATGTAATAAAACATAACTCCAAGTTATGTATTTTTCACATAAGAGGAGACATGAGCTAATTGCAGAATAAAGTAATAAGCTTTCATTTATGTTAAGCAAACTGTACGTTAAGTTGTCTTGAAATATTTCTGTGTAAATTTTTTACATTTAAAGGTATAGTGGTAACTTGTACTTTGAAAACGTCAGAGTTTGAATGTTAAATTTGACAAAAATTCACTTCTGAGTTCAAACAATGCTTCAAAGTTTGAACTGAAGACAATGAAAAAATGCACCTGAAGCATAAACACAATCTGTTGTGTACCCAAATCATCTCTCACTTTTACATTACACTTGTATGTTTTCAGTGCTTTTTCCACTTTATTTTTGTGTGTTTGATTATATATATTGTGTGTTATTTGTCAATTTTTAACAATTGCTTCCTGCAGTTTTTATTCATCAACAGCTTTTGGTACATTTTGTATTTTTCAGTTTATAATTTCCTGAACAGAACTTTTTAAACCACATTTGACATGGTTGAAGTTTAGGAGCATCTTCCCCATATACATTACAGATTCTTTTTACTGTTTGTAGGGCATTATATCTTTTCCAAAACTCATAAATCATAATATGTCTGATATGCTTTTTATCTGAAGACATTTCAACTTGATTTTATTCAAACAAAATATGAAGTAAAAAGTTCAAAATAAGCTTCTGAACAAAGAATACAATCAAACATCTATGTTAAGTAATGACAGATGTTAAAAGTACATAAAATTTTTTTGCTCAATCCAATATAATCGTACTTTGTAAATATGGCATTCAAGAAGTGTGTGGAAGCAACAAAGGCTAAGAGAAAGGTTGTAATATAAACAATTGGCATGAAAAAGGAACTTATTTTTGGTATCCATGGTGATCTGGCAATCATGGCAGATGGTGATCTGGTATCCATGGCAGATCTGGCAATCATGTTTAGATGATGAAGTTGACAGTATATGACCACTAAATGCAATTTTCATTTTATTGTACAGTGCTTACATATTTTTTTAATTGTTTTCATGTTTTAATGTATTATTAAGAAATTTAGTTATGTTACTTGTACCTTAAATAATGTGCATTTGCTTTTTGAAGTTTATCAAAATGGATATTGTTTACAGTCTGGGAATGGATTAATTTGCTTTTCATTATTTCTAATAGGAAAAATTGATTTGGACTTCAAACAATTTGGAGTTTGAATGGCCTCCTGGAATGAATTAAATTCAAAGTACAATACACCACTGTATATTTTATTCATGTCATATTCTTTACTACAGAATAACATAATTTTATTGGTCAGATGAGTAAATTGCCTTGTTGTAGACAGAAAAAGTAGAAATTTAGTTTAAGTTTCTCCTGGATGAAAGGGAGTTTGCATAATTTTCAATTCCACTTTTTGTATAAAATCACCTGTTAGTTTTTTCTGTAATAATTTTTTTTTCAGTTAAAGTATGATATTCCCATCGTAAATAATAGAAAAAAAACTATTTATAGTATTTAAATGAAAAATAACTTTAAATTTTCTTGTCAACTGTTAGGTGTTGACATCTAAATATCTTCTATATAGTAACACTACAATATAACAAAATTTCTCTATATAAATTTAAGGTAACTTTTTTATTAAGTTAGTTTTGAAAATATTTTAAATATTAAAGTATAACACTTACAGTTTTATAGTAATAAAACATAATTAAAAAATTATTTAATGATCAACACTATAAAATTTTATCAATATGTTTTTTCTTTTACATGTTCTGAATATTTTATTGTATAGAATTTTAATTATTAATTTTATCTAAAACAAAAAATTACAATTTATAATAATTATTATACAAAAACTATAATATAAATAATAAATAAATTATTTAGAATGCCTCCATATGATGGGTGTATTGAATCAATTAATGCTCTTCAATCAACACTACTTAGTTGTACTATACGTTTGCAAGGAAAGGGAACAAGGGCTTGGCTCGTTGAGGTAAAGTAGTAGTAAATTCTTATACAATTTTACTCTTATCTAATTTGGAATTATTAATAATATTATTAATTTATTTATTTATTAATTATATTATTAATAAATTTATATAATTAATAAATTAAAAT